AAGACATCACACAGCCCCCGAAAAGAAAAAATACAAGAAGAAAACTCTCTCAAGTTGGCAAGAACGTGACGAATAATTCGGGCTTTGATTCGAGAAAATTAAAGAGCGAGGACGTTATTAATAAAGAAAAAGAAGAACAGCCTGTGGAATATTTGAAATTAAACAGAAGTAATTCAGAGGCAGAATCGTCGACAGAAATAATAAGCAGCCAGCCGAGTAAATTATCTAATGGAACGAAGGAAGTTCTTTCTACAATTGGACAACAGAAGAAACGTCGACGAAGAATATTGAAGAACAACTCTACGATTTCTCTCGATAATGCGCCTGCTGAGTCTGTTACTAAATCCATAAATAAAAGGCGCAGGAAACTTGTGGCAACAACGTTAGCTACGCCTTCGGCAAGTATCAATTTTGGCACTAAAAAGTCAACTTCTACACCCGTTCAAAGAAAATATTCAAAGAAAGAGAAAATATCGGATTTTTCTAAAAAGATTGAAGCTGCTAAAATAATTGCTACGCCAGAAACAGTCAAGACTGATAATTTTCAGGTAGAAACGTCGACTCCAAAAACACGGACGATCGAGCATCTATCGAGAGTCTCAAAGGAAAAGATCCTTACGAAGACCACTTACCCAGAAACAGAGAATGAATTCGATTCTATAAAGACAAATATAACGTCCGCTCAAAAAAAACCGGTGAGGTTGAGAATCAAATCGAAGCGCAAAAAAAGTGATAATAAACAGAATGGTAATAATGAAGATTTAGATAATAGAAGAGAATTAATAAAAGAAGATAAGAAAGACAAGAAGGAAGATAAAAAAGAAGATTATAAAGTTAAGTTTGTTAATGAAGATGAAACTAAAAAATCAGTGATATTAGATAAGTCTCAAGAAAAAAGTAGAGATAACACTTTTAAACATTTTGGAATGAAGAAGGAGGAAGTTAAGAAGATAAATGATTTCGGAACTTACGATGGGATTGTTAACAACGAGAATGACAACGATGACTCTGGGATATCGTCAGAAGTAAGTTTGTCACCGCAGCACAGAACGGTTCAGCTGACCGAATATGGTTCGAGACACACAATGTCTACTATGTCTTGGATTTCAAAGAATTACGATTACTAAGGCATGAATTTCATTTTCTCCTTCTTTGTTCACTCGGGCAAAATATTCTTATAATAGAAAGAATGATTTTGCTGAAGTATTTAAAGATCTGAAAGTAACACTATCAACAATAATTTTATTAATTAAATAATTTAGACTGATTTTTATGTATTTTATATGTTGATTCTGAAAATGAAGTCAAAATTTATTTTACAAACTTTTTTTATAACCGACATATCTCTTTTCAAAAATTTCTACATTTTGCTAACAACAATTTATTGAATAATAGTTTTATCTTGATTAAAATAATTTATTCTTTATGTATTTTATAATAAATGAATGTTAAATTCAATAGTTATTCTCTATAAATCATTTATTTATATCCAAAAGAAAGAGATAAGCAAAGGCTTTTTAAGTGCGTGTTACTAAAAAATCTTGCTTTTCTCATAAATTTAGCAAACCAATTTGAAATTTGAAATTAGAACAAAACATACCATAAAAAGCATATATATATATATTAATAACGTAACAAAAGTAAAATTATTTTAAGCGTACATAATTTTGATAGTTCAACAAAATTATTTTTGGATCTGAATTTAATTAAACTTTAGATATTTCTCAGCAAAACTGCTTTTTGTATATATGTAATACATTTAAAATTAAGAATAATCCAACGAGAATAGCATTACAATGTAAAATATAGTAAACTTTTAGAAATTGTAATTTAAAATGAAAACGTTAAATCAAGTTGTTCAGATAATAGATGTAATGTAAAAATGTTTAATGTAATCATCACTCGCCAAAGATGTTTTATGCATGAAGTAATATTATAGATTATAATGTTCGTATAAATTAACTACGTAATGACTTAAATTAAAACTAACTGTAGGAAAATGTATTGATATAATTATGCGCTCAGTATGACTCATTCATGGTCCATTCATGAAAGTTTGTGGTTTCAGATCTACCCAATGTACAATCTAATGCAGAACATTCAACCAAATCACGAAAGAAATCGAGCCAATGAAAAAACTAAGAGTGAATCGAGTAGGATAACTGAAAACTGGAATGCTCAAAATGTCGACAAAGAAGAAAAAAAAGATAAAGAACAAAAACAGAAACCGTTACAAGCCAAGTTTATAAAGGATCCGGAACGCAGGATGTATTATTACGTAGAGCGTAAATAATTAGAGCCAACGTATTTTACGTTTAATTAAAACATTTCTTATTTCTACGTAAATTGATATGCGAGATTAATTTTAAAATTGTTTTAGATAATTATAAAAAATTTATTTTGGATCTTTAAATTTATTTTAGCTTCCTTTTTATTTCGTAATTAATAGTAATGTATAAGTAAATTCCACATCATGTAATTCATAAAATTTATTTATAAAAAATTGAAAATCGTTGTCATAAGGATATTATACAAAAAATTGGTTTGTGTCTGCTGATTATGTCTCGTAATTACTACCTCAAATTGTGGTGTCAAGAATAAGAAAATGCACAACAAAAATTTTTGCAAAATATATTTGATATATAAATATATTTCAATAAAACAATACTTATAATTGATAGAGCCGACTTATAAAATATATCGAAATTTCTCCTTTTGTTTCGTTAATTAATGAATAATCATATATCTAGAAAGGAATTTTCAAATATATGCACAATCAAAAATGAAATGAGTTATTTTTACATCTATGACAAACTGTTATCTTAATAATATATAGAAATAAATATGACTTAATTTCTCCCCGAAACAAGAAGATAGTTTTCGATATATTTTATAGATCTGTTTTATGCAAATAATATTTTATTGAAAAATATTTCTATTCAAATATATTAGTAAGAATTTTTATAGTGTGTTTTTTCGCTTCTGATGTTATAGTTTGAGATAATAGTAGATAGAAATCTTAAGAAGGCATTTTAAAACATTCATAAAAGCGAATGTGCCCAGGTAAAACACAGAGTCATAATTAAGTCACGATGATATCATAGGATGTCATTATGACATCATTTGTCACCTAAAAATAAACTTATAAATGACAAATAAAGTTATAATGTTATCCTTATGATATTATTATGACTTTTGTGTTTTATTTGGATGACGCAAAGATAATAACTTCAAACACTTGCACTTGAGTTTATTTTAATACTCACGATATTTTTAATGTTTGCAGTAGTTATCATAGCATTTTTTAGTTAAATAATTTTTGTTTTAGAGAAAGCGCATTTAGATGCGGATGATTAGACGTGATTCAATCGAGGGTATTGCAATAGTTTTTTCCGACCTCTAATTACGTTGTTGTATATAGTCTATGATATTTTTGTTAAATAAACGTTACGGAGAGATTGTATAACGCCCCACTCGAAACTATATCCATTCTTTTCATCGGCGCAACTGTTGCGCGACTTACTATTTGTATCATGGTGCGAATCACCAGAGAAATTATATCTTCTGTGACAACAAAAAGAAGCCTTATTGAAAGTTGAAATTTCTTACTTGTTCACAGATTTACAATACGTCAGCAATAATCGCTATGTTTGTAGTCTAATCGAAAATATAATTCGACCGCTTTCGCGAACTTTATGCTGATCTCAGTTAAAATCTATCTCACGAAAGAGAGAGAGAAATATATCATTTATAATCATATTACATGATATAAATGAACTTATTATAGTGTGACATTGTTATAATATTTCGTTTTTATAAGGTCAGAGATAAAAATAATCAATAAAAGCCGAATTTTGTTAAAGTAATTTAATCCTAATATGCAATATTTTATACAAAACAAAATTGAAAAAAAACTCGTAGAGAAAGAAAGAATCTTTTCTATAATAATTTTATATCTACATATAAAATATTAATTTTAATTATAAAAATACGCTAATTTACTTTATATTTGCTTTATTGAATCTTTTAACGGTAGTACTTTAAGAACTCATTCAACAAAACAGTTTTCTCTCCTCCTTAAAGACTCCTTTAATTGAGCTTTTTATCAATTACTTCTTTCATAATTACAATAGTTATTGGATGATTAAGCATAATTTTCATTAAATTAATATTTTTTTATCGCTTTCTCTTTTGTAACTGCAACACTTGTCGGCAATATTTATCATCATAACAATCGCTGCGATTCGTGAGTCGGCTGGTTTATTAATCTTGTTACGTAATATTGCTAACTGTCTTCAAGAGCGGATACCCTTGATCTATTTTTCGTCGTATGAGTGCGATAATCTTTTTGTGTAGCTTAATAAGCGACATATTAATAATAACATTGTTATCTACTATAACGCTCTTATCCTGCAGCGATCCATTAACGTGGGAAACTTAAAACAATTACGCGTAATGTCAAAGTCACAGTGCGTCTAAGTAACCAATTTAATTAATTCGCATATTTTTATGATTTTGAAGTAATATCAATTTTCATCTTATTTGTTACTATTATATTATATAAACAATTTATGCCACCTTTTACCATCGATCTTCGGCGAAAGATTTTGTTGATGATTCTTACGAGCAATATTTGTAGCACGTTATTATAGTAATTTTACGTTCTTTCTATTTATTAGCTTAATCTAAAAGAACATCGTTGTCATTTGTCGCCGTTCAACAAGGACGTGCATCATCAGTATTGTTAAAACCGCGAACACAGCACACAACGATAAGAAGGTACTCACGAGAAACATGGTCCTTGGTGCACAGGATAGAAGTCAGTACGCCACATGTGAGAGGTGGCTGCTCCAAGGTTAAGGTGCCCCAAGGCGGGCTCCACGGATATCCTCGCAGTTCGATAAAGTCCTATAGACAGAAGAATAAAACGGGCGCGATCGAAAGGAAACGCCAACGATTGGCCAACGTTAACGCACGCGGCACGCCACGCAACGTGTATATAATTCGATCTTTGCCTTTGTATTCTAGTTTTGCCTACGCGTTTAGTACGTGTTGTGCTTTATTGAAAACGGCGACATGCTGCCCGCCAAGGTACGTGAACGCCGAGGTGAATAAATTAATTATAGTAATCTCGGGGGTTATTAATTATAGTCTCATCTATAAGGATGTGAGGTAGTTTTCATAATTTTATATGAAGATAATACCTAAGATTTAATGATGTTTTATAACAAACTGTACAAGTTGAATTTTTTTTTTAAAATAGATCGGATTATTTGTATAAGAAATACGAAATTAAATAATTGCTTAATAGGATGTTTTACATTGCAGTTACATTGAATTATTATAATTATTATATTGAACTGTTATATTGAATTACATTAAGTTAATATTATATAATATAATATGATGTGACTACATTTTACATTATAAAATTATTATACGTGGATGGTTTAAATATGAGCAAGACTTTTTTTTGTGTGAATACAAATTAGTGTTGGTAGACATATTTACGTCTACCAATATTGATTTGTTGTCTTTATTTTTTTGACTAGAAAAAGATAAAGTTAGTTGAACCGAGATTAAAATTAAACTGCATCGGTAGAAACGGACATTAGTAAGTAGTTATATATAGAAAGCAATTACTTACCTACGTAGTACGATCATAATGTTCAGTATTTTGCTTTATCGAGAATAATAAAATGAACAAACTGAGCAATAAATTAATGCAATCAAGATGGATAACTTGCAAACTTATTAGTGTTATCAATTGAATTTACCGTGTAATTACTTACACACATTGAGTAGGTCATATATTCAATACTAGGTCATAGGATCCGGTTACCTTACACAATTAAAATTAAATGTTGTGTCACTATAATAGAAATATTTAATAGAAATAAAAATGAATTTACGATAATTATGAAATAATTTATTTCGTAAGATCTGTTTGATATTGTTTGATTTAGAAATAAATACTACTTAACATAAATATCTAAGAACTGCAGATTTGTGCAATAAATGCAGATTGCCAACGAAATCTAATATGCGCAAAAAACTGGCATATACGATACACTTTCTATACACGATTGTCTGTTTTAATGCAATCAATTTCAGGATATGCCTACGCGATTCATATGTTTACGCGATATTTTATTTACTTATTTTATTCATTAATTGATAAAATTATTGACAGTGATGATACAATCATAGGAAATATTGTTTACTTATTTAGGAAAAATCGCTTAAATAGTGTTTTTAAACTGTATAAGTTGGAGTATTATTATATAACTGAAAACATGTGCACTTATGGCAAACTCATCAATTTATTAAAATTCATTATATAAGAAAATATGCAGAGTGTAAAATAATAAACGTACTATTAGTAATATTTGCAGTCTTAATAATTGAATGCGCGTAATTAGTTT